GGCCTCTCCCGTTGCGGAGCACAGGCTCCGGATGCACAGGCTCAGCGGCCATGGCTCATGGGCCCAGCCGCTCCGCGGTATGTGGGATCCTCCCGGACCCAGCCGCTCCGCGGTATGTGGGATCCTCCCGGACCGGGGCACGAACCCGTGTCCCCTGCATCGGCAGGCAGACTCTCAACCACTGCGCCACCAGGGAAGCCCGGCACTCATTCTTAAAATTATACTTGGTTACATCTTAAATTTCCACTAATAAGTTGGGAGATTCTGACCAGCTGGGGTAAAAGAATTGTGATTGAGTGGCACTGAGGGTAAAAAATATCAGTACTGAAAAGAACAATAAGAAGACGGGAGCATCACCCTTACAAGTCCTCCATCACTTCTTCCAATCACCCAAAAAGCAACAACAGCACTGCTGAAGATAGTGGCAACACGGTGAGTACTGCACAGATATTGCTGGGCCCTGAGTCAAATCAGGAATAAGAAGAAAATACACTCCTTCACGCTTTCTGTCCACTGGTTTCATAATTTCTTCATCATTGTAAAAAAAAAAAAAAAAAATCAATGTTTGGTGTCGGTAGCTTTGGCAGAGCACAGAACAGAGTGTCAGTTTCCTCATCTCTAAAATACACACAAAACTTTATAATGTTAAGAGGATTGCATGGCATAACATATATAAAGTGCTTAACATGGAAGACATGTTCGGCACATTACGGCCATTGCTGCTGCTGTTAATAAACATCTCATAATTTGCAAAATATAAAGGAAAACAACGCCCGTGTTTACATATATTCTAGGACTCCCTTTATTTTAAAATACTTTTTAAAGTGTCAGTCTTTGGAAAAACATAAAATACCCTTAGAACGAAGGCAGACAGTTATTCAACCGATATTTATTTATGTGTTGGCCACCGTTAAATCCTGATGATTCTGAACCAATCACACAAATACACATAAAATTAAACTGCAATGAGTACCACAAGGTAGAAGAACATGGAACTAAAACAATATATAATAGGGCAACTAATGTAGCAAAGGAGGCCAAGGAAGGTTTCCTTAGAGAAGGGATGATTGAGCTCATATCTGAAAGGCAGGGGTTGGGGGAGTGGAGGGGGAAGGGAGGACGAAGTGAGGGACAAGGATACTAAGAGAGACAAAGGATTTGAACACATTATCTTTAATCTTGAAGGATGTACAGATGTGGTCTAAAATTTATTTTAGTAGTAAGAACATTGGAGAGAACATTCCACACTGGTGAAGCTATTGTTGAGCAGCTAAAATAACTGTAGTCTTACCCAGAGAAGATGATTATAAATGCCAAGACGAAAAATATCACAAGTCAAAAAAACTAAACAAAAAATGGTCAACCTTTGTACACTGTGCATATTTTTTGCCTTATAAATGACTACGAGTAAGGTCAGTCTGAGGTCATTATTACTGTCCAGTTAAATTCCACACTTATGTATTGCTTCCCCAATCAACAACAAACATGTGCACAGGAATTAGAAAGTCATTTTTGTTTTTGTTTTTAATTAAGATGTAATTCTTCTGATGGAGAATGTAATATTTTCTCGGTCTAAATAGTTAAAGCTTAGTTATCTCTACCAGATGAGGAAAATATTTAGATACAAAATAGGTAGAAAACACAGTCTTCAAGTTTCACTATAAGATAGTCGAGGTCAGTGGTTCTCAAACTTTAGAGTGTGTGAGAATCATGTCGGGGACCCCAGCGCAGAGTTTCTGGTTCAATCATCCAGTGGAATTGCATTTTAACGAGTTCACTGGTGCTACCGCTCACGGAACCGCATTTTGAGAACTACTGCCCTAGGTTAAGAATTTGCCATTAGGTAACAAAAATGTTTCCTTATAAATGACATCTAGATTTTATTTAAGATCAGAACACAGTTACAGTGTTCAAATATTTTAATAAGTTTAATTAAAATTTCAAAATTGTTAGTACAGTGTAAATAACACAAAACGAAAAAGTACATTTTAAGTTAATCTAAATATAGGGCCAGGAATTTAGCCAAACAACAAACTTTATCTGTCAAAGACCTAAGCAGAAATTTTTTTTTTATTGTAATACCACAGACCCTAGTAAACATTTTCAACCACCACTTTTTTTTTTTGCCATTTTGTTTAGCCCACATATGAAAACAGCTTAAAATGAAATACAGTCATTTTAAAGTGAGAACTGATAGCAATATGCTGGCACTGTATCAACTGCAGCTTAGACTGGTCAGCTTTACATTTTTATAGTTAGTTTAAGCTATACATTGAAGTATGTTTCTTTCGTTAGTGTCTTTCGTCAATCTCCTCATCTTTTCTCACTGCTTCTCCCATCGCAGACTTCATGTTTTATTGTTAACTGACACTCTCGCATAGTGAAGATAACATTGCTGATAGAAGCATACGTCCTCAATATAAAGCAAATAGATTTTGTCACTATCCAGTAAGGAAATCACGCAGAAGCTGTCAGTCATATAGTAGGAGAGATTATCAAAGTGATACACCTGTGACCTATAGTCCAAAACCAAACTCAAAAGAGACCAATTAACAGATACACTGGTCTGTACTTTGACTACACTGGAAATCATCCCATTCCTGCATGAATATGAAATAGGTGATTTAATAGGATTTTCACTTCTGTAATAACTCCTATCTATTCACTGTTGACAAAATATATACGCAAATCTTTTAATTCAACTAATCTGAAAGTAATTCTACTCTGTTATTTATTGAAAGTGATATCTAATATTTGTACTATTTCCTTATTGTCACCATAACATACTTCTCAGGTGTCATATTGAATAGACAGGCTCAATGTCAATTCAGATCTTTCCCCTTGTGGTCTTAAAATGGGGAAATGCATTTTAAACAGTTTTGTGTTTGCTTTTATATATATATATATAAACAAATATATATACAAAAAGCAAATAACTAAGTTCAAAATGCTCAGAGACAGAGCATGCTCTTATTAGTAATACAATCTATTTACCAGAAGACAATTAAAACATCTTTAAAACTGTCACTACAATTCTAAAATTGTTCCCCATAGGCCCTACATCATAGCTATATATTCATGGAAAATAATGTAAGGATAGATTAACTATTATGCAGATGCATTCTAATAACTTTAAAATAAAAATATTATAGAAAATATATTAATGAGTTACACATTTTATATGAATAAAATATTAAGCATTCAATGACTACTCACTATGAATACAGCTGTTCTTTTACATACCTCATACTCTTTCCTTTAGAGCAAATCTAAGGAGAGTTGGCTAAGGATGTAACTCAAACACCTCACTTCATGTACATGCCACCTTGTTATTAATACGAAATGCAATACTTTAGTGTGATGTGGTATATTTAAATATTTAGAGTAATTATCCTCTATAAATGCATATAAAGCACATTTTTCATTAAAAGGCAAGATAAAATCAAAAATTTGTCTTCTTAGGTACAGAAATATTGACAATTCCAAGAATGCAGCATACAGAATATTGTTCATCAAAAATAGACTCACCTGCACTTTGCACAACAAATTCAACCACTTTGCAATATCAAAATCTATTTCAAAACAAACTTATCTTTCTTAAATCTTATGTTCTTTTCTACAATTCCAGGAGACTTACATCTTATACCTTATATTCTCATCCACAAGCCACTAATCCTATTTATCCTTTAAGATCAAAACCAAGCAAGTCTTACCTACGCCGGAAGTCTTTTCAGACAAAATCCAGTATGAAATGTTACTGTCATGCTCTGAACTCCTGCAGTCTTCATTAGACATGCAACCTCTTATTGTCAAGGTTTGCTAACTCTGTTCAACCATGCGCATCAGATTTGCCCCAACTGGAGAGTAAGCTCCCGAAGGGCAGGAAGCAAGGAAGTCCTATGTTCCTCCACAGTACCTAGATAGTATCTTGCACATGACAGGCCCTTTATTATGAACACTATGTGATAAAATGCAATAAGGAGTTCAATATCTATAAAATGTAATATTTTTTTCATTTTCTACTTCATAAGTTTGATATAAATTAACATTCTACAGTAAAAAATTCATTATTAAAATAATAAACAGTTGCTGATTCTCTAATGGTGTCAAAGAAGTATTCATAAATGTGACTTTTAATGACTGCAATAATATAATTCATCAAGCACATTTTAAAATTCCCCATTACTTCTACATTCCAGTGATTCAGGAAAGTGAAGGTAACAGCCCTCAGAGTGCGGCGCTCAGTTCAAGTTTTAATGTGATATATAAAAACTGCACATGCTCCAATGCTAAAAATGTATTTTAAACCAACATGAATCTAACCAAATCAAAGTAACAAATCCTTAACACTGCTTTGTCTTCCAAATAAACAGGACTGTTAAGGAAAGCTACTTTCGCACTGGAAAAAAACAACAACAACAGTTGGCATGTTTTGATCAAAATAAGGAGCTCCTTAATTAATACCAAATGAAGACAAATCACTCTGACAATAAGTTGGTCAGTCTACTTCTCTTTCTTCTCCGTGAAATTACTGAACCGGCGGTTGCAATATGGAATTTCAAAGCTTTAAAAACACTGTACTTGGCAGGTGCTTAAAGACATCCCAATTTAAAATAATAAGGACACTGTCCTACTATCTCCGTCACAACCCCGTCATCGGTTCCATGAAAACACAGGTTGCTACTTTTAAGAACAAACATAAAGTTGCTAAAGCATAGTTGGCAGACACTGTCCTAAGGCATTTCCAAGCTTCAAGTCATGTCTTTGGAATTTTTGCCTGCCATAAAGCAAAAAGAAACCGAAACAAATTAATTATGTTGTAGACTAGATTAACAGTATTTTAGGTCTTTTCTTAATAGCTAGTTGTAATTCTCATCAGTAATAATCGATATAAACTCACTAGGTGTCTGCTTCTCTTTCTTCCCCAAGGCTTTTAATAAAACCATCTTTATGGTAAAATGTGTGCACATTATTTTTAATAGCCTTTCTTAGGGGTAGAAATGGAGGATATGCGTTACATATCACTGGGAAGGTATCCAACTGTAAAGATATTAGAAACGAAAGCTGTTGAAACCAAGTAGGTACTTTCTGCCTGTAGCTGTTATTGGTGGCCTGAAGAGGTAGGAGGAGTGTAGAATAAGTACATACAAACATTATAGGGCAAGAGATAGGTAACTTCTAAGAAGCATTTTTTTTCTACCTGTAAAATGACAAGTGATTTTCTGACTTCCTTCACCTCATATTCAATGCCCCACGGTGAGGAGGGGAAATGGAAAGCAGAATTGCTTCTAATTCTGAGAAAGAAAAGGGGAGACATGGGAGAGAGGAACAGAGAGAGAGAGAGGAGGAGAGAGGGCAAGAGAGAAGCTCAGGAACCACGGAAGGAAACCCGCAGAAATTTCACAACTCTTTGCCATAAATAGCCTTTCTTCTCACTCTGGATACCTCGTCCTCTACATCAGCAAGGCTCAGCCTCCACGCGCAGGGCAGCACCATTCACAAATCCCTCCGTCACCCCATCTCGCACACCTGCCCCTGATGGCACTGCTTGTACGAGTCCTGGGACACATGCCAAAAGGTGGCGGGAGGCGGAGCAAGGGGACACCTGCGGTTTCAGATCGGGACTGATTTCCTTTCCCGGGGAACCAACGCTTTGATTAGTCAGGAGCGCGAACGCGCACACACACACACACGGACAGACACCCCTCCCTGGAGCCCTTGACACGCCACCACAAAGCAATTTGTTCACGCTAAGTCGCTGCTGTTCCTGCCGCCGCTGGAGAGCGTCTGACCCCCAACCCAGGAAGCCAGCGCCGGAGAACGAGCGGGTGGAGGAAAGAGGACGTCCAGGCTCCGGCACTGCGGCTCCCCGCCCCCTCCTTCCTCTTCCCCCTCCCACGCCACCGCCCCCGCCCGGGCGCCCGCAGCCCCCGGCGTCAGCGCTGCCCGGCCGCCCCTACCTGCGGGAAGCGAGCGGCGAGGGAGGAGAGCGGCCACCAGCCTGCGCCAACTCTTGCCTTCTCGGCCGGCCGCGCTCCGCATCGCCCCGGAGTGGCGGCCGCGGGGAGCCGAGCGCTCAAGAGCGCGGAGGAGAAGGCCACGCAGCACGCGGGGAGTCGCGCGACGGCGGAGAAGCGAGCCCGTCCGCCTCCCTCCCACCCCGCCCGCGAGGCCAGGTCTCCGCGCCGCGCACGCCGGGCCCACGGCCGGCGCCCCTGGCCTGCGCGCGGGCTGCTCCGGGGCGGCCCGGTCACAGCTCGGCCAGCCGCCGGGCGGTCCTCCCGCGTCAGCCTGAGGCCAGCGCCAGTGTCGCGGCGACGCGAAGCGCGACCCTCCGGGCGCGGGGGCACCGGGGGCGTTACTACCTGGAGGGCTCCGCGGCGCTTGTTAGGCTTCTCCCGGGCACGCGGGGATTTCTGTCTTCGGAGCACGGGGGTTGTCCTTCCTGGCCCCCCTCCTCTGCCCTCCCTCCCTGCCTTGGCCGTTTGGCTCCTTCTCTCCACTCCCAGTTGAACAGAGTCGAGCTGCGTTATTTAATAATCCTCCTGCTGCTCTGCCTGAGCCACCGCTTCCCAGGCAGTCATGTTGTGGAGAGAGGGAGAGCGAGAGGCGGATTGGCAGTCGGTCGGCGACTGTTCGTGGTGAGAGAGGGAAGAGCGGAGCAAGAGGAGGGCAGGGGAGGGACGTGGGGAGGCGCTTCCAAGTGTGTGAGTGCGCGGAGTGCGACTGAGTGGGGGACAACGGAGCCACCTCCCGGCTAGGCCGCGCTCCCTGACTAAGGAGGGCGGTGGCGAGCGCAGCTTTTATAGGAGCGGAGCGGGGGAGGAGTTAAACTGGGGCGGAGGGAGGGGTTAAACTGGGGCGGGGCGTGGATGGCTCCGAGGACGGCGCCTGGCCAACTGAGGCCGCGGGTTGCCACGCACGCATACTCTTGCATTAACGCGCGCACACCCACTGCTGGCCCGTTGCTGAGTTTTCATTTTAGGGGAAGCCGTATCCTGTCGTGCTGACTTGGCTTTGCACTCAGCCCATCCTCATGAGTGCGTCGAGTCCAAGTGCATTGGCAGGTCAAAAGTGTTAGAGAGGGAGAATCTGAAGCTCTGCGAAGGGGCCCCGGTAATGCTGAAAATGCACTGTATCTTTTCTCTCCAAACCACCGATGCTATTTTCTTTCTCTTCCACCTCTCAGGGAGAAAACTGTGAGGCTTCCTCCTCTTTTCCTTCTCACCCAGGCTATTCACATCCTGACACATCTCTTACCTCAAAGGCAGCAAGAAACCTGGCTTCCTTTCTCTTAACAGATGACACCTCCCAACAAATATTTACAGCACTCAGTTCTTCTGTAGGATAATGGAAGCATTGGGACTGTGGCCTGGAGTGGAACTTGTGTTCCTGCACATAAGGTCCTCAACAACACAGGGATTACAAACAGAACCAGTTACCATTTTGACATCATTTGACTGATGGCCCTCTAGAGATATTTTGCCAGTTTAGTGGTGGAGAAGACTTCTGATGCACGGTGCTGTTGCTTACCTAGTTTATTTTCCCTTGGTCCTTTCTCCTATTGCACTGCCTCATTTCCGTTTAGATTTGCCCTGGGTCCTGAACTCTCCCATTCATCCCCTTCTTTATCTCCACTCCTGTATATTTATGTCTTTAGCAGGCAATAAACAGATGGAGTGCATTTAACTCTGTGTGTGTGTGTTGGAAACATTTTTTAACCAATTTTGGTGGCTTGTAGGACCATTTCTAGATAGAAAATACATCCCCAGTTCTAAGTTTGGGCACCTGACTTTACCTCCCTTACCCTCTAACGAGCCTCCTGCCCAGATTGTAGGGTCTTTGTGATCTGATGCACTACTGTATTGGCAAACAGCTTCCAGGAATCAAGCAATCTTTGCTTCTTTCAAGTTTGTGTGTGTGTGTGTGTGTGTGTGTGTGCGTTCTAAATAATCTGGTCATAGTCTGACTTCTGAAATGTAAATATATTGAGTGTAAAAGCAAGGTGTACTTTTTGAATGAGTATTAGTGGTCGATGTGGATTTTGGTATGGGGACAACCCTGCTTTGGGGTGACAACTGTGGAAAACTTTTTTTTCATAAACGTGACAAAAGGAAATTAAGAACATCTAGGAGGCTAGGGCTGACAACTCAGTTATTGTATCTTCTCTCTTTATTAGTAGCTATATCCACTGCTATGTCCTCAGGTTTTTGGTGTATGCCAGCTCATAATATGTTCTCCATATATTTTACCTTTACCGTCAATTTTCTTTTGCCCTAATTCTTCCATGTCTCATACAAAGAGTTTAGAAGCCATTAAAAGTGGCTTAAGTATATAATCAAAAAAGGGCAGCAAAGTTGGGACTAGTGGACAAATGTATCAATAACATAAAAATACAGCTCCCTTGATCAAGCATTGTTAAATGGATATACTAACAAAGGATGTTGAGATTCAATGTGTGTAGGCCCTGTGAAAAAGCTATTACCATTTCTTCAATTTTGTAGATCTGGAAAGTCAGGTTTGGGGAGGATAGGTAGTTAACATTAGGTCTCGTACAAATTAAGTGGTGCAGGGCTTCCCTGGTGGCGCAGTGGTTGGGAATCCGCCTGCCGATGCAGGGGATGCGGGTTCACGCCCCGGTCCGCAAGGATCCCACGTGCCGTGGAGCTGCTGAGCTTGCGCGTCCGGAGCCTGTGCTCCGCAACGGGAGAGGCCACAACAGTGAGAGGCCCGTATACCGATTAAAAAAAAAAAAAAAAAAAATGCGAAGAACAAATTAAGTGGTGCACCTGGAATTCAACCGAAGTCTGCCTTACACTACTGTCCATACTCCCTCCCATTCAGACCACCTGGCTTAGTTGAGAGTCTTAACAGTTTCTTTATAGCTTTCAATAATTATGGAGTAAGCTGATCTACAACCCCTCAGCATTTTCCTTCTACTTCCCTCTTTTTTCTAATGCAAGAACGGTTTACAAAACTGTCCACCATTTTAGGGTTAGGTAAGGATTTAAAAAGCCCTTACTACTTGGATTTATAGATGAAAAAAGTCAGGAAACTCTTCCCTGAAGTCCTTACTAAAGGAATCCTGCTATCACTGCAAAATGAAATTTTGTTAGAAGACATATTCCTGATCTGAACTTTGAACCTAGCAAATAAATATGTAGTTTATTTAAGAGCTATAAATAGGCATTTAAGAAAAAAGTTTTTCACCTTTAAGGAGGATGCTCAATCATATTGGCAAGTTTTTGGTGTTTTTATTGTCCCAGTTCTCTATTTAATTGTCACCAATAATGGTAATTTAATAATGACTCTATATTACACAGTTCAGAATTATACATTAGACCAGATATTTCAAGGGCACTTTTGGTAACCACAACTGATTGTAATTTTCACACTCAATTGCATTCATAATTAGTGAGAACCATGAAAATCTGTCAATTGCCTTTATTCATTAAGGTATTAAGTAAAGCCAACATTCCTTCCTTAATTTTATAACAATTTTGCTTGCCAAATAAAGGCCAGAATTCATACACACTGGACCAATAAGCCATATGAGAATATATAACCTAAAATACACTTCTGAAAAGTTGATTCATTTTAACTATTTCATATTTTTGGTTGAAAAAAAATCTGTACCCGAAACCCCACTTATAAATTATAACGAACAACATTTCAGAAGTTAAGTAAATGAATTATTCTCTTTTAAGATTGCTTAGTGTTTCAAGAAGAATTTCCCACTTTGCTACATTTTCCTGATACAATTTGTGTTGTGATAGGAAAACAGAAAGTTAATGACTCTTTCCAGTTTGTTCATTTTCATCTCTTATGCTTGCTGCTGTTTGGTTCCAAGTGCGTTTAACTGGCAACTTCAATGAAGATTTGGCATTGTACCATTTGATGAAAGCAGAAAAATTAGGTTGCCAATTACATATGTGCCCCTTATGTGCACTGAATTCCCACTGAAGTGATGAGCCAAATTAGAAATTTTCAGTAGTGGTACCTAAAAAGTAAAATGAGTGCCTAGGGAAATAAGGGAGATAATTTTTCATTCCAACCCCTACTACTATCATAATAAAAGTCATAAGATGTTTTAGAAAATGAATTGACTTTAAAACATTGGCAAAACAATGTTTGTAGATGAAGTATCAGAAAAAAATTTTAAGTTGCATTTTTTCTGTCCTAGTTATTTTATCACCCCTTGATTTACTTCATACTCTATCATGATTATCCAGTCAATATGAAGAAAGTTAAATGAAGACCACTTCTCCCCTTTGCTTTATCCTAATAGCATAAAGGAAATGAAAAAAAATTTTTTTTGAATATGGTATTAACATTTTGGATTTTTTCCATATTACTTAAAGGTAAAATATATTTTTGTGACAACTGTTGTAAAATTAAGGTGACATTATGAGTACCTTATAGCAACAGAAGCCTCGAATGGAGATTGAGGCTGAAATTTGCACTGGTTTCAAGATCAAGGACGGGTAAGAAAGTGTGGGACAGGAGAGAGGAGAAAAGACTCAACTGCAGTTTGGGATCCAGGGGTCCAGAGAGCACAGGAAAAAGTCTATTTTAATGTGAAAAACTCTCTTAACTGGGGCAACCTGTCAGGTAGACAGGGCACTAGCAGAAAAAAATTAAGACAGAATTATTTTTCAGAAATCTGGTAATGACTCCTACACTTGGTAAATTGTCCTTTTGCAGCAGAAATTCTGCCCGGTGACAGAACAGCAGGATCCATCATTGCCCTTGCTCTGTGGAGGAAACTAAAAGGGCAAGCAGGTCAACTGCCCAGGATTTCAGAGAGGAATCCTCTCCAGAAGCGAAGCCCAGATGACTGGGTCAAAATACTCACTGCATGAGCTGTCTTTGATCTGGGAACTACACAGACACCAAGGATTCGTCCCATGGAGCGGATGTGGTAGCAAGACTATTAAGGTGAAAGCATGTCACTGTCCTTGTCACTGGGCTACCATATCCCAGGTTTACAAATCGATCTAATTCTAAGCCCATGGGCTGAAGGGGTGGAAAGCAGAGGATGTGGAGAGGCATCGCTTACCCAGCAACTGAGGAAATCCTTAATTTTCAGAGGAGAATATCCAGTTAGAGGGCTGAAAAAAGTTGAGGTGGCAGAAGGAGGGGAGAATTAATGTCAACACTGATGTTCTCTGAATTTATGTCTCTCTGTTAAGGGAGATAAACTGTATGTAAAATAATGTTTATCAACATAAAACCAAAGGAGTCTTTATAAGCAGATTCACCAGTAGAAACTTTTCCGTGTATATAATTTCCTTATCTTTGTTTCTATTTCCAGATGTGATCAATGAGGTCTTACAGAAAATGATCTCAGGATTTCTCATCTTCATATGAGGTAATTTTCATGTTTGAATACTTGTTTTGTTCTGACTGCAATATTTTTTAAAAAATATTTAACCCAGTTAATGGTTCATTTGTTGATGTCTATGAGTTACATCTATCAAAGTGATTTTTTTCACTGGACATGTGAGTTCTTCTATCATGATTGTTCCTAGGCATCTATGCATTTGTAGGCATTTCATTAAAATAAATAGAACTTGACACATTTTTTAGAGACATCATCAGTTAAATCATCTCTAAAAATAGTATACTGATAAAATCTGAAACTGTAACAATAAATCTGTGAATCATATAAATAGATCTAATTATAACAATAGAAGAACTATAACAAAATTGTAATAGTACTCTTTACTATTTAGATATATAGTAAAAATAGACAATGCTAATAAAATAATCTAAACCATATTAAACCGTTACTTAAGCAGGTTGGAAACTGGTCTTGACATCTGTCAATTTCTGTACTGGCAGTTTCACAAATGAGATGTCTTTTTAACAAAACATCACAGCAGGAGATACAGACATGTGAATTGTAATTAAAATGTGAAAAATGCATTTCCTAGCCTTTGTCACTTATATAAAGCTTCTCTTATGTTGTGAAATTCTACCCTTAGGAAGTTACACAAAGTGGAAATAATGTTTATTTTGCCAAATCTATACACTGTTTACCATAATTTTAACTGAAGTAATGCATGCATATGCTATCATAAATTTAATTGTGGTTTCCTTATGTCTTGTTCACACAGTAATGAGATTCAATTATTTTTTAATCATCCAAATGTAGAAGATGAAGAGGAATAATTTATATATTTCTATTCAGTCTAGATCTGCTGAGGACTAATATTATTGCTTTATATTTACTCATCATTATATTCTGTATATAAAAATACATTGAATTTTATTCACTTTCTGGGAAAAAATAAACCTAAGTGAGTGCTTAATTCTGTAATGAAAAAGTTGCCTAAATATTATATAATAGTTTTCCTGGTTTCATAGCATTTACATAAAATACAAACCAAAATATGCAACGTAGGAGATGTAACTATGGTTAATGCTACATATTGCTATATATTGAACAAGTGCTCAAGAAATCAGTGGTAGCATAAATCAAGTTAACAACATAGTTTTAACTTAAAATAACACATTAACACTCAAATAGATCTTAGTTTTTATTTTCACTCTCCATAACATCTTGAATATTTTCTAGAAATTTAAAGTTATCATGTGTTCTTGACATTTGTCATTATGGGACTTATATATCCAAACACATTCACATCCCTGACTTACCTTTGGTGCAATGATGCTTTTCTTTGTACTGTTATCACTTACAAGTTTCCTTCAAATGTTAACATTTTAACAAACAAAATGGGTATTGAGATAGGAGTGAGTCATTAAATCAGTATGTAATTATATGTTTCAAATACAAAATATTCCATCTCATTTTTATGTACTTCTTACAGTACGACATTGAAACTGTTGTGATGGAGTGTTAAGGATTATGTCCCTTCCTCTTAAACCTGAGCAGACTTTTGTGACTGCCACCACTAGAATATGGTGAAAGCGATGTTATGTAATTTCCTAGCCTAGGTCATAAAATTGCCATTTACTTTATCCTTGTTCCCAGGGACTGTTGCTCATAGAAGCTAATCACCTGCTGTACAGAAGCCATGCAAACTATGGAAAGGCCCACATGGAGAGGAACCGATGCCTTTTATCCCTCAGCACCATCTGACAGACTCCACATAAAACCAGCACCAATTTGCCAGCCATGTAAGTGAGCCATTTTGGCAATAGATCTCCAGCTCCAAATCTATCTACTCCAGCCAGCCATGTGGAGCAGAAACAAGCTGTATTAATTTTTATTGCTGCACACCAAACTACTGCAAACATAGTGGCTTAAAATAAGTAGCAATTTATTAGTTCACAGTTTTGCAGGTCAAAATTCTGGCAAGGTGTGGCTAGTTCTCTGCTTATTATCACAAGTCTGAAATCAAGGTGTTAGCCAGACTGAGTTCTCATCTAGGGGCTCTGCGGCACAAATCAACTTCCCAGCTCTTTCTGGTTGTTGACAGAATTCAGTTTCTTGCAGTTATACAGCTGAGATCTCTTTTTCTTTTACGTGTGCCTCCCTCCATCTTCAAGCCAGCAACAGCAGCTTATATCCTCATGCTTCAAATCTTTAACTTCTTCTGCCGACCAGAGAAAACACTCCCACTAGACTATAGGCCAATGGTGGGCCCATGACTTTATTTACTTATCATATCAGGGCCTAGTAGAAGCAAAATAATGTGTCCTCAAGTGACACAAGGGGTGGTGCATATGACTGACGTTTTATTCTCTTTATCATTTCCTGAAAATTATATGTCATGGTGAAGCCTTATTGTTCATTATTCCTTCAGGAGCCTTTGTTTTCCTCCATACCATTCTCAATCTTTCGTATGTTATCTTTCTTCTGACTTGACTTTAAAAATGAAGGTTGCAGGCTTCACTGTAGCCACTCAACCAAGTACTATTCAGTCATATGAAACAGTGTGGTGAGCTCTGATGCAACACCACAGCAGGTTGTCTTAGTCGGTTCAGCTGTTGTAATAAAATACAATAGACTAGGTGGCTTATAAACAACAGGAATTTATTGCTCATAGTTCTGGAGGCTGGGAAGTCCAAGATCAAGGAACCAGTATAGTCATGTTCTGGTGAGAGGTCTCTTCCTGATTCATAAACAGTGCCTTCTAACAGTATCCTCTCATGATGGAAGCAGCAAGGGATTTCTGTGGAGTCTCCTTTATAAGAACACTAATTTCATTCATGAGGGTGGACCCTCATGACCTAAGCACCTCCAAAACCCCAACTCCTAGTACTATTACATTGGGCATTAGGACTTCAACATGTGAATTTTGGGAGAACACAAATGTTCAGACCATAGCAAAGGTCAAGACTGTGGAAGATACAAGAAACCTCAGAATAAACTCAGCTCTCCCCAAGAGCTTTAACTGATGTTGGGAATGAGATAAAGTACTTTGTATCACCATATTTACCTTTTGGACTCATTAATAAATATTTATTAGTTAATTAGTTTTCTTCTTATAATGTTTTCTCCGTATATTGTAGCATGTTTACGGGTGGAAGTTCCAGCCAATAGAATGTCACATCTCTGAAATATAACATGAGATTTTGGTCATCAGATGTTTATGGTACAAGGTCGAATCATAGGAAGTAAATACTGAACAATAATCTGAAAGGATAAAAATAAAAGAGGGGAGAAAAGCAAAACTCGTCATGAAATAACTCCACAAGTAGTCCTGAATGGAGAGAATTCCTACATAAATAAATCACAATCATTTATGTAGTCATGCATCAACAAGTGACATATTGATTTTTTTTCTAGAAAACCAAGATAAAAGTGACAGGCCGAGAGTCAGTTTAGGCATACTGAAGGAGCATTTCACTAACGGGATACATGAGAATAATTTGAAAATCTAGATTTACCGTGCTAATTTCTCACCAATCTTGTGTTCTTTAGTATCTATAAAACATCTTTACTTAGAATCATAGGAAAGTAAATGTGAAGGGATTTTAGTCATTCAGCAGATTTGTATTGCAGATGTTAAACAAACTAAATATTAGGGATACCAAAATTGAGGGGAAATTCTTGCAATTGAGATAGTCATAGAAACAAATAATTAGAATACAATGTACTGTGGAACAAAAAGGGTATAAAAGCAGTTACTCCTTGCTTTCAAGGAAATAACAGTCCAACAGGAGACATATTACAGCAAATGATTACAATAGTTAATTCTCAGTCCTCATTTTACTTTCGTAGATTTTGAATTGGAGTGACTTTGTACTGTGTTGATGTAGCTAAAACTGGAATTGTATTTCCCAGAATTCCCTTCCTGATATGGTTCTGCACTAAGGTTGGCCAAAAGAGAAGTCTTCATGAGATTTGGAAGGGAGAAATGAGGCAGCAGCTATGTTATGTGCTAAAGAACAGTGTAGGGAACCAGGTGGTCTTCTAGCTCATGCTCCTTGATCTGCTAGCTCACCTTGTTTAGTTTGGGGCGGCAGCTACACCTCCAGCTCCCTCAACTCCTGCCAGATCTCCTTTACCCTCTCAGAGTGTGTGGTACAAGTTCGTGGGAGGTCCATTGTAAAGGTTCTTTCTGCATATCGCTATCTGCATATCCCTTGCAATGTTGAAACTGGAGGTAGCAAGAGACAGATGTAGGCAGAGATGGTCTTTTAGGGGTACACTTTATACAGTTTGTCTTAGCTGATGTGGGTAGAGATTGTCTTTTGGAAATCCATTTTATCCTGAGGATTCCAGTCTGTCCCAGCTGACCACCAGTCCACACAACTTTTCTTCCCAACTGCCATTTCTCAATGACTTTAAGCCCACCATTAGAGCAGTGGCAACAGACTTCCATAGACTTCTGCCCAACTCCCACAGTTGCATAAGGTCTGATCCCTATAATAAATTCCTTATCCCATATCACTCATATTGGTTCTGCCTTTCTGTTGGGACTCACACTTACATGAATATATTTTGTAGAAAAAAACCAAAGGAGTACTGAGGACTAGATGTAGAAGGTCAGGAAAGAGAAGAGTCAAAGTGACTAAGTCTTAAATTAACATGATAATTTTAGTCATTTCCTTCCATTTGAAACACTTCTTCCATTTGGCTTCTGGGACGCCACAGTCCCCTGTTTTTATTCAACTCACCTCGATGACCTCTGCATTTGGAACGTTCCAAGACACAAGACAAACTTTTGTTTTCTTTTTATACTCATTTCTTTGGTGATCTCACTTAGGCTCAGAGTTTTAGTACCATCTGAATGCTTATGACATCCACGTTTGTATCTCTAGCCCTGAACTCCTAACCCATGTCTGACTTTCAACTTGACATCTCTGCTCGTTTATAGAAGCATCTCAAGCTTAAAAATATACAAAGCCTCTGAATTCTTCTGAAAACCTGTTCTGTATACAGTCTTCCCCATCATGGCCAATGGCAACTTCTATTCTTGCAATTGTTTGTGTTGAAGACCTTCGGGTCATTCCTAGTTTCTCTTTTTCTCTTACAATGCGCATCTAACATGTCAGCAAATCCTGCTGACTTTATGTTCACATTATATAGAGTATTCCAACCACTTCTCAAAACTTTCACTGTATAACCCAGTTTAAGCCACCATCATCTTTCACCTAGGTAACTGTGATAGCCTTCTTCTTTTTTTTTCAATTAATTAATTTATTTATTTATTTATTTTTGCTGTGTTGGGTCTTCGTTTCTGTGCGAGGGCTTTCTCTTATTGTGGCAAGTGGGGGCCACTCTTCATCGCGGTGCGCGGGCCTCTCACTATCGCGGCCTCTCTTGTTGCAGAGCACAAGCTCCAGGCGGGCCTCTCACTATCGCGGCCTCTCTTGTTGCAGAGCACAAGCTCCAGACGCGCTGGCTCAGTAGTTGTGGCTCACAGGCCTAGTTGCTCCGCGGCATGTGGGATCTTCCCAGACCAGGGCTCGAACCCATGTCCCCTGCATTGGCAGGTGGATTCTCAACCACTGCGCCACCAGGGAAGCCCTGTGATAGCCTTCTGATCTCTACCTTACCTTTGTCCCTCATATTCTCAAAACAGTGGGCAGAACTGGCATGTTAAAATCTAAGTCAGATCACGCCACTGTTCTGCTCAAAATCCTACAATGGCATCCCATCTCACAGAGAGTAAAAGTTGTTAAAATGGCCTATAGGCCCTGCATATCATAATCTCCCTCACCATGACCCCGTACCACCACCACTATTTGCTGTTGCACTTCTCTCTGTGGATTCTCTTCCTGGATTCATGCAGGAGAACTTCCTTACTTTCTTTCGGACTTTGCTCAAATGTCACTTCATTGAAGCCTTCTCTGCCATTGCATCTAAAATAGTTACTCCACTCCACACACATGCTCACATCCATTTCTGAGCCCCCTTGCCAGCTTTATTTTTCCTTAGCATTTATCTCTAAAACAATGCATATTGTATGTACTTATTTTTGCTTATTGTCTGTTTTCCCCACTAAAATAAAAGATAATGAGGACAGGGGTGTTTCTGTTTCCCCACTCCCCATGCCTCCCATCCCCCTGTACCTAGAGAGGTACATTGTTTATAGTGACCCTTAATAAATATTTGTTAAATGAAGAATAAGTCATAGAATAAAAGCATGATAGAAACACATACAAGAAGTAAAACAGGAGACAGAGAGGGTTTCAACACTACCTTCACTCACTATTCTGAAAAACAAAAACAGATACTTGTCATTTTATAAAAACTTTTAAAAGATTTTGTATGGGATGTTTTCTAATTAATCTCAGTATTTATGAGGCATGTGATAATTGAGAAATGTGTCTTCACAGTAAATCTAAAAGCAGATGGCATTCGTTCATTTATTCATTCAGTCCACAAATGTTTTTTGAGTGCCTACTATGTGCCAGCAGCTAATACAAAGGTGAATAATGAAATATTCACAAACTTTAATTAAACATTGGCAATATGCTAAGCAGAGTACTAAACCATGGATATAGAGAAATAAAAGTTATAGCCCAAAGAGCTGAGAATATATTCGGAAAGACAAATAAATAAATAAACAATTACAAAACTGTGTGAAAGGGCTACAGTAGGTGCAAAATAGGAGGTTTTGTATTATATAACATAGGTATAAATAATCCAAATTTAAAGGGTGGATTTTCAGGGAAGGATTCCTATCAAATGTTAACATCTGGCCTGAGTTCTAAAAAATATATCTTGCTTAACTATATAAACTTTGTTAGGCAAATGGTGGCAAAATAATTATTCCATTCTTTGTGTTTAATAAATATTTGCTAATTTTCTAGTATTCAAATAACCTTTCATTTGGGGGTATTATTTTAATAAACATTAAATGTGTGAAACTATCTTTACACATTTTATTTTTTATTTTTATTACTAATTTAAAATAAGATTGAGCACTCAGAAGTCTTAAATGCTTTCCCAGATTCATATGGACATCATTGAAAATATTTATGCCACCTATATATTTCAGAGTCTCTGCTCATGGAAATAACACAGTGGATATATATATATATTCCTTTCCTGAGAACCATAAAAATAAAAACTTACAGTTCTATCATTTCTTTTTAATCTTGAGACTTGACAGGTGAAAGAAAACACATAATTTTCTAGTCAATTTCTAAATTATTTACTTTTGTATTTAGTT